TGAGCAGTTGATTGTTCATCATAACAAAGGGAGAATTCTTTTTTTTTTTATTTTTTATTAATTATTTTTTAAATTGCATTTTAGGTTTTGGGGTACATGTGAAGAACATGCAAGATTGTTAACAAAGGGAGAATTCTTAAAAATAGGCTGTGAGGGCTGGGCACAGTGGCTCATGCCTGTAATCCCAGCACTTCAGGAGGCCGAGGCAGGTGGATCACCTGAGGTCAGGAGTTTGAGACCAGTCTGACCAACATGGTGAAACCCGGTCTCTACTAAATATACAAAAATTAGCTGGGCGTAGTAGCCAGCGCCTGTAGTCCCAGCTACTTGGGAGGCTGAGGTAGGAGAATCGCTTGAACCCAGGAGGCGGAGGTTGCAGTGAGCTGAGATCATGCCATTGCACTCCAGCCTGGACTACAGAGCAAGACTCTATCTCAAAAAAAAACCAAACCAAAAAAAAAGGCTGTACCATAATCAAATCATTCTTTTCATGTATTATTTAACGTTTTCACAGAATAGGCTTAAAATTCCAAGATGAGTTCAAATGCACACTTATCTAAGACCAAAGACATGATCAGCATACACTACATATACTAGGTCCAGGCTCTCTACATTTTAAGATGCTATAAATGGCTTAGTTTCAGGGATATAATGACTCGAGCAGGGTAGAACCTATTCCCACAGGATACTTCTATTTCCCTGTATCAATAAGGGAAACTAAGGCAAATAAAAGTTCTCTCAATGAAATGTGAGGGAGTTAATAATGGTTAACTTTCTTTTCTACCACACATAAGTTGTTCAATATTTCAACACATCAACAAGATCCCATAAGGACGCAGATTTCATAATAAAAAGAGCACTGAGGCATCCAAACCGATTTAAGAGATGGTGTGCAATGGGCTTATTGATGACAATGCCTCCTTCCTGTTTCAGAATCTCCTCTAGAGACCTCAAGCAGTTCACAACCACAATTGGATCCTGGTCACGCAGCAAACTGTATAATTCATTAACAAGGGCACCATCTATAAAAAAGAACAAAGATCTCAGATAAAGAAGAAAAGCTTCAAAGTAACAGGGATAGAGCCAGAGTAATAGCTCCAGGCAGACAAAATTGAACTTCTCTGCTACAAAAATGACAAAAGCCATACTAAAGTGCAAGGCAAAAAAACTGCCATGTCCAGACTGTTCTAAGCAGCTAATACAAAGGATCTCACTGGAGCCCCAGAGAAAGGACTTCTCATCTCCAGAAGATACCAAGCCCTGCATCATACCTAAAGAGATATGTACAGAACTAAGGCCACATTATTATTTTCAACCAAAGCCACATAATCTTTAATAAAGTTATACATAAGAGAGGCACATTGACCATGATGGATTACACAGAACTTACCTACTTCGGAGTCTCCATGAAGATTATGCATCTTGGCACATCCAAGGACTGCCACTCTCCTGACATATGAAGCCTTATCACGCAGACCATTGAGAATAGGCTGTTGTATATACTCCTGCACACCAGGCATCCTAAGCAACACATTCTGGAGTTAGCTAGATCCTGAAATACTAATTTTGACATATATCAGCCCCTGTTCACTTAACAGAGGGTTTAGTAGATGCTGCCTCTATCAGATCATGAAGAATTGCAGAGAGCCTCTATCAAGTTTAAAAAGCCATAATTTGACTTTTCTGTTTTCTTCTTGTTTTTCTTAGAGATGGGGGTCTCACTTTGTCACCCAGAATGCAGTACAGTGGCCTTATCATAGCTCACTGCTGCCTTGAATTCCTGGGCTCAAGCCATCCTTCTGCCTAAGCCTTCCAAGTAGCTGAAACTACAGGTGTGTGTCACCATGCCCACTTAATTTTTAAATTTTTTGTAGATACAGGGTCTCACCATCTTGCCCAGGCTGGTCTCAAATTCCTGGGCTCAAGAAATCTTCCTGCCTGCGTCTCCCAAAGTGCTGAGACTACAGGCATAAGCCACCACGCCCAGCCTAATTTGACTTTTCTTTTTTCCTTTTTTTTTTTTTCTAATTTGACTTTTCATTTTGAATAATGCTGCACAGACAGCAAAAAAGATACACACATAATTTTTTAGAAATATTTAACCAAAACTGAGGACTATTTTACTGAGGGTAAGAATGAAAAACTCCCTCTAGTAAAATTGTATGATACAGATTATCAAGCCAAAGCAACTGCTGAAAATCTGAGTTCAGCATACAATAGTGTTTTCCCCAGTATTAAGGAGCTCAAATAAATTGTCCTCTTTAAAAATCTGCCCTGCTGAGGCAGCCATTGAGGACCATACACAGAAGGGTACTCACCTGAGGCTACACATGCTCCGTAACGCCAGCCCTCGCACCATTGGATTGGGGTCTGAGCAATCTTTGCACAGTGTATTGATGGCCAGGAGAGCCAGATCTGGTTTTAGGGGAGCATATGTGCACATGTACAGATAAACCAACTTCTTCTGGACAATATCTACAGTGGCACTGGCCTTCACCATTTCCATAAAAACACCAGACATGTCCAAGCCCTGAGTCATGTACCTGAAACCAACACACGTTAGAAAGAATTAAAATACAAAATCCCCAACTTACAATGGAGGGAGTTTTACCTATGTATCTCCTGGTTACCCAACTGGATTGTGATCTCTTAGAGGGTAGCAGCCAGGATTACCTTGTCTATTATATCACATAATACTTCATGCCATAGACCTGCAAAAAACATTATTCTTCTGTTCATTCAACAAACACTTATTGAATCCCTAGTACACTTTGGTGAAATTCAACTTTTACATTCCTGGATGTAATATTCAGGGATATGCTCTGGGGACATAATCTTGAAGGTGTGGTCTCAGACCTCTGAGAACTTCAAATCTATTAATGAGTCAGGTAAGAATGCCATTCATTACAGTATGATAGATAAGTATTTTTTATTTTTGTTTATTTTTTTGAGAAGGAGTCTTCCTCTGCTGCCCAGGCTGGAGTGCAGTGGCGCAACCTTGGCTCAGTGCAACCTCTACCTCCAGGGTTCAAGTGATTCTCCTGCCTCAGTCTCCTGAGTAGCTGGGACTACAGACGCCTGCCACCACGCCTGGCTAATTTTTGTATTTTTAGTAGAGATGGGGTTTCATCTCATTGGCCAGGCTGGTCTTGGACTTTTGACCTCGTGATCCACCCACCTTGGCCTCCCAAAGTGCTGGGATTACAGGTGTGAGCCACAGCGCCCGGCCAGTATATAAGTATTTAAACAAAAGTATTGTCCAAGGTACAGAGGGGATTCAGAGGTCTGACACTGGCACGAATTCAGAAAACGTTTCTTCAGAGAGGCGGTAATTCTTGAGCTGAATGAGCAGGAGCTCACAGGCAGATGTAATAGAAAGGTGATGATACATCCTATGAGGTATGTAGACATGAGTAAAACCGGCACAGATTCTTTTGAGAGTCTGCAGGTAGTTGGATTGACAGCTTGTTCCTTGGACGCAAGGATAAGTTTGGACTTTTTTCTTTCTCAAACTGGTTTCCTACTGGAATCAGCTGAGATGTTTATTAAAAATACAGATTCCTGGGTTCCCTTCCACCCTACTAAAATCAGAATCAATCCCTGGACAGGATGAAATAAAGCACCCCAGGGGCTTTTGTGCATAGTAAAGTTTGTGAACCATAGCTGTAGGCAAGAGTTATGTGTTAAGATTTGTATAATGGAAAAATTCTGTCTCCAGCAAGGCAAGGGGGCTTACTAGTAAGCTGGTGCAATTGTTTTGGTGATGAAGGCCTGGAGCAGAACAACAATGCCAATAAACAAGAGAAGACAGATATTTAGAATTATGAATCAGAACTATCTGACTTGAGAACTCAGGGATCAGGTGTCCCCAAGGTTGGCTCCCACGCTTAGTCGGCTGCTGGCGGCATTCATCAACGCAAACATAAGCTGAAGAACACGTTTGAGGAAGACGGAAGGATGCCCGCGCTATTTCGGACATACCTCTGATAAACCATTCAGATGAAAATGCCAAGCAGGCAGTGGGATACGTGGGTCTGAAGCTAAAAATGGAAGTCTCTACGAGCTCTATTATAGATCCAGGAGTCAGCAGTAATTACTGTTCGAGCCCTTGATACGGAGGTGACTACGCAGCTGAGTAAAAGACTCTGCAGAGGGGAGACTAAGATGGTACCCCAAAGCAGCAGGACGAAGACCGAATCACGTCAATGCCAAGTGTGAAAGCGAATTCACCCTTTGAGAGAGGCCGGGGCTAGGGAGCCCTGATGGGGACGGCAAGGGGGGCGGTTAGCACGCGAAGGGAGTTAGGTGATACCTAATCACTCGCTGGATGACATTCCGGTAGCGCAGCCTATCAGCTTGAATGTGAGGATTGCACAGAGCCTTCTTCAGCTCCTTCACCACGTCCTCGGAGCCGAGGTACGGCATCTTCCTAACAGGCACAGGCCAGCTCCCACCGCTCCCACGGTAACTCGTGGGCTCCTCCTCGTCCTGATGTGGGAGCCCGAGTAAAGGACAGATGGGTCAGTGAAAAGACAAAGGCGAGATCTCGCCCCGGGCTTGGCTTCCGTAGGGCCGGCACTCTGGCTCTGACACACAGCCACGCCCTCCGCGACCCCGCGAGCCCCACCCTGAGCTCTTCAGGCCCTACCCTCGCCGGGAGGCCCGTTCGCCCCGCCCACAGAACGCTCCGGTGACCAGTGGGCCCTCCGCGGGATTTCCAGCGCCGCGGCCGACGGACCGCAGGCCCCTCCCTCTCCAGTTCCAGCCTTTCCTGCGCCTCCGCGCCGTTCTCGTCGCGGATAGGCCCAATCTTGTTTTCTACGGAAGTTCCGCCCCCTTGTCTAGAGACCGGAGCAGTCCTGGGGTCTCCCAGCGAGCGAGCGAGCACTGAGCCTAGTCTGGACTGCGACCTTAAGATGCCCTTCCCCCAACCTCTCGCCCTTCGGGCACAGCCGCTCGACTCCCTCTGGTGGAGCGGCGGCGGGCAATCGGAAATCGGCTACTTCGGCCTGTCTGCTCCCAGCAGCGCGCGCTTTGAGTGCCCTACCCGGCCTCCACTCCCGCGCGCGGGTCGGAGTGCTGAGCGCCCTCCCGGATTTGGGCTCCCGCGGGCACAGTCACTTCCTTTTTCTACCCACTCTAGTAACTTTTTCCTCTACTGGGCTCTTTCCCTTAGGGTCTCTGGCCCTGTTCTTGTCCCAGCATGACTTTTATCGGGGCGCTGTCGTGGAAGCCTCATGCAGGAGCCCTGCCCCCATGGAGAACATCCCACTGGTGACTCCAACCCTGCCACCATGAATGGGGTCTTGATCCCCCATACGCCCATCGCAGTGGACTTCTGGAGCCTGCGCCGGGCTGGCACCGCACGGCTCTTCTTCTTGTCTCACATGCACTCGGACCACACCGTGGGCCTGTCTAGCACCTGGGCCCGGCCCCTCTACTGCTCCCCAATTACAGCCCACCTCTTGCATCGTCACCTACAGGTATGGGGCTGGAGTCGACCTCCGAGAGCTGATCCAGGCATCTGGGTTGGGACTTTGACCTGTCAGTCTTGGAGTTATAGAATGGGGTCCACGACGACTGCTTTACAAATGCAGAAATTGTTTGAACCCAGAAATGCATTTTTTTTTTTCATAGACTGCTCAGCAGGACCAGAAATGCATCTTTAACCCAGAATAAGAACGTGATTTTCGGGCCGGGAGCGGTGGCTCACCCCTGTAATCCCAGCACTTTGGGAGGCCGAGGCGGGTGGATCACGAGGTCAAGAGACCATCCTGGTCAACATGGTGAAACCCCGTCTCTACTAAAAACACAAAAAATTAGGTGGGCATGGTGGCGCGTGCCTGTAATCCAAGCTACTCAGGAGGCTGAGGCAGGAGAATTGCTTGAATCCAGGAGGCGGAGGTTGCAGTGAGCCGAGATCGCGCCATTGCACTCCAGCCTGGGTAACGAGCGAAACTCCGTCTCAAAAAAAAAAAAAAAAAAAAAAAAGAACGTGATTTCCGAGTGACCAACTTGAGATATTTTAGTCCAGCCAAGGAAGCTAGTCTACCTTTATATATAAGCTAGGCCAGTGTTTCCTAAACTTGCCCCATCTTTTTTTTTTTTTTTTTTTTGAGATTAAGTTTTGCTCTTGTCACCTAGGCTGGAGTGCAGTGGCGCGATCTCGGCTTACCACAACCTCCGCCTCCCGGGTTCAAGCGCTTCTCCTATCTCAAACTCCCGAGAAGCTGGGATTACAGGGCGCCAGCCATCACGCCTGGCTAATTTTTTGTATTTTTAGTAGCGATGGGGTTTCACCGTGTTGGCCAGGTTGGTCTGGAACTCCTGACCTCAGGTGATCCGCCCACCTGGGCCTCCCAAAGTGCTGGGATTACAGGCGTCAGTCACTGCCCCTGGCCTAAACTTGCCTCATCATAAGAATCCGCTTAATGTGCTAGGTGGTTCTCCATCTCTCTCTCTCTCTCCCCCACCCTAAAGTCTCCAAGAGATTAAGATCAGGAATAAGTTTGAGAATTGCTGACTAGACTGTTTGCTGAACTCTTAATTAAGTTATACAAAGGGTGGGATGGGGAGTGGAAGGAGGAAGGGCAGATTGCTTGAGAATCCCCATTACAGCTTCTGCTCCTGGCTGGCTCAGGATTTGGTCAGCTTTCCTCCATTCATGTTAGGGATAGTCCCTAACCCAGGGAGGGGAGTCCGTGGTCACTGGTATGACTGACTGTTTCCTCAGGTATCTAAGCAATGGATCCAAGCCCTGGAGGTTGGTGAGAGCCATGTATTGCCCCTAGATGAAATTGGACGAGAGACCATGACAGTAACCCTCATCGATGCCAATCACTGTCCTGGTTCAGTCATGTTTCTCTTTGAAGGATATTTTGGAACCATCCTCTATACAGGTGGGCCTCTCAAGGAATCCCAGCGACTTCTCCAGACTAGATGTTACTTTTCTTTTTTCTTTTTTTTTTTTTTTAATGTATAGACTGGGGCCTCAAAATGTTGCCTAGGCTGGTCTCAAACTCTTGACCTCAAGTGATCCTCCCGCTTCAGCCTCCCCAGTAGCTGGGATTATCAGCGTAAGTCAGCACACCTGGCAGACTTTTCTTGAGCAGCCTTAATTCAGTAGAAGTCTGGAGGCGCTGGAGTCCTTCTAGCTTCATCACATATGAGCATAGTGACCCCATATCAACTCTGATTTCCTACTCTTTTTTTTTTTTTTTGAGACAGAGTTTTACTCTTGTAACCCAGGCTGGAGTGCAGTAGTGTGATCAAGGCTAACTACAGCCTCCGCCTCCCGAGTTGAAGCAATTCTCCTGCCTCAGCCTCCCAGGTAGCTGGGATTATAGGCACCCACCACAACGCCCAGCTAAGTTTTGTATTTTCAGTAGCAATGGGGTTTCACCATGTTGGCCAGGCTGGTCTCAAACTTCTGATCAGGTGTTTCACCTGCCTTGGCCTCCCAAAGTGCTGGAATTACAGGCATGAACCACTGTGCCCAGCTGATTTCCCACTCTTTAAGGGTCCAAACCTTGTGAAGAGTAATTGAAAAATAGAAGTAGGATGGAGACATTTCCACAAAGAAACCATGCAGGTATATCGCATAGTTCAGTGCCAGGGTACATAATAGTTTTTTCAAAAAGACTTGTAAGCAAACAGCCATCTATTATTGGAGGTAGAAAAGGCTTGTCTTCTTTTGTCTCTGACCTTTTGCCCCCATATACATACTCTTCCAGGTGATTTTCGATATACACCATCCATGCTAAAGGAGCCAGCTCTGACACTGGGGAAACAGATCCATACTTTATACCTAGACAACACCAATTGCAACCCAGCCCTAGTTCTTCCTTCCCGACAAGAAGCTGCCCACCAGATTGTCCAGCTCATTCGAAAGCACCCACAACATAACATAAAGATTGGTGAGTTGTTTCCTTTCAGTTTTCTGTCACCTGTAGGTAGTGAACTGGGTTCTTTGAGGGTTCTCGCATCTTTCATATCTTTGTGAAGTTCTCACTTTGTGCTACACTGACCACCTTATTTAAAATTGCAACCTGGCTGGGTGTGGTAGCTCACACCTGTAATCCCAGCACTTTGGGAGGCCGAGGTGGTTGGATCATGAGGTAAAGAGATCAAGACCCTCCTGGCCAACATAGTGAAACCCTGTCTCTCCTAAAAATACAAAAATTAGCTGGGCATGGTGGCATGGTGGCTACTTGGGAGGCTGAGGCAGGAGAATTGCTTGAATCCAGGAGATGGAGGTTGCAGTGAGCCAAGATCGCACCACTGCACTGCGGCCTTAGTGACAGAGCAAGGCTCCATCTCAAAAAAAGAAAAAAAAAAATTATCGGAACATAGATATTTGAGTGTTGTGCTTTAAATTAAGTATACCGAAAAAAACAGCTGTATGCTTGTTCTAGTGATTATAAATAGTATAAAACATTATTGAGGACTCCTTCTTGGAGTTGCCATTTGGAATAGTTTATGAAAATCTTTGTTTTATAAAATAAATGTAATAGATTTGGTTCCAAATTACTTTTTTGGCTGTTTCCAAATTAGTACATCTACAAAAGGGCAAAGATTTGCCACCATTATAAATATTTGAAAAAGACGTGTTCCGGCCGGGCGCGGTGGCTCAAGTAATCCCAGCACTTTGGCAGGCCGAGGCAGGTGGATCACGAGGTTAAGAGATCGAGACCATCCTGGTCAACATGGTGAAACCCCATCTCTACTAAAAACACAAAAAATTAGCTGGGCATGGTGGCGCGTGCCTGTAATCCCAGCTACTCAGGAGGCTGAGGCAGCAGAATTGCCTGAACCCAGGAGGCGGAGGTTGCGGTGAGCCGAGATCGCGCCATTGTACTCCAGCCTGGGTAACAAGAGCGAAACTCTGTCTCAAAAAAAAAAAAAAAAAGTAAGAAAAGGACGTGTCCCAACTTTGAAAGGAGTTTCAAAAGGAAACTAAACAAAGTCATTGAAAAACTTACATACCTTCCAGGGTGATTACCAAATTGATTGAGAAATGTCCTCTACTCTCAGGATTGCTTAACTGCTTATAAAGAAATATCAGTCCTAACCATTCTTAATATTTTAATGCAGAATTTCTCGAAGAAGCAAAGCTGGCTAGGAGGATGCTATAGTAAACCTTGATTAATTTTGCAAATATGCAATAAGCCTCTACCAACTAAGTGCCAAGTATCCAATAGGCAGTGAGGATATAAAGATGAATAAAATATGGTGTCTAACTTGGAGGGCTCACAGTCTGGTAGGGAAGGACCTGTGGGGAGGTGGGAATATATCGAGAGAGAAGAAAAAGCAGCTACATTTGTGCCTAAGGAGGGAGATTTTGAACCATAATCAGGAATAAAGTGGATATAAAAAAATACATACTTCTTTTTAAGGCATTCACAATCTGGTTGTGGATTTCAAACTTCTTCAGAAAAGGTCTGAGAACAGCTATTAAACAACATCTCCCATATCTGTTACCATAACTTTTACCCAAATTAATGTCTCCATTTCTTTCTATGTAAGTGTTATTTGGGCCCTTCAATTGGAACTTCCACTCTAGCTTCTTCTCAAACTGGCAGTCAAATAATATTATTACCATATTTTTCTTTTTAAAGCCCTGTTCTGAGCATATTATTCTTGTGATTAGAATTAGCCATTTTCCTGCTTCACATTCAGTGGCTCCCCTTCACTTATACAATGAAGTCTGAGCTCTTTAGTGGTACATATAAGACCCTCTATTATATGGCCCTTGCTTGCCCCTCTGGTATTATTTCTTACCAATTCCTTCTTTAGTAACAGCAAACTGCCCCCTCTTAAAATGTTTTCCACTATACCCTCTCTACCCTTTCCTTGCCAGGTTAACCTTGCCCACCCTTTAATATTTAGCTTAACTTCCCCCAATTCTATCACCTAGTAGATACAATACTGTATACATTTTTTTTTTTTTTTTAAGAGACAAGGTCTCACTCTGTTGCCCAGGCTGGAGGGCAATGGCACAATCACAGCTCAATGCAGCCTGGACCTCCCAGACTCAAGTGATCCTCTTGCCTCAGCCTCCCATGTAGCAGGGATTGTAGGCGGGCACCAACATGTCTATTTGTTTATTTTTGTAGAGACAGGGTTTTGCCAGGTTGCCCAGGTTGGTCTCAAACACCTGGGCTGAAGCAATCCTCCCACGTCAGCCTTCTAAAATGGTGGGGTTATAACAGGTGTGAGTCACAGCACCCAGCCTGTACACATATCTTTAACGTTGCTTTTAACTGGTTTTTCTGGGTCTCCTTGTAGATCGTACTTCTTGAGGGCTCACAGCTTTCTTTATTAGTTTTCATAGTGCCTAAAACTTGGTAGATGCTTTCTTTTGTTGAACTAAATGAATGAGTGGATTCTGTGTCATTCCCTTTCATATATCTTAGCTCAAATGCCACCTCCTCCTTGATATTCCCCCTGGATTTCTCCTTGAATTTTATCTACTTTTGTTAAATATTTTGTTAATTTATTAGGATTTTCCAGTAGCTTCATTTTCTTCCTTCTCTTATTTTCCCCAATCCATGGTACATTATTTAGGACTTTACAGCCTAGGAAAGGAATCACTGCTGGAGCAGCTGGCCCTGGAATTTCAGACCTGGGTGGTATTGAGTCCTCGGCGCCTGGAGTTGGTACAGCTACTGGGTCTGGCAGATGTGTTCACAGTGGAAGAGAAGGCTGGCCGTATCCATGCCGTGGACCATATGGAGATCTGCCATTCCAACATGCTGCATTGGAACCAGACCCACCCTACCATTGCTATCCTCCCCACAAGCCGAAAAATCCGCAGCTCCCACCCTGATATCCACGTCATCCCTTACTCTGACCATTCCTCCTACTCTGAGCTTCGTGCCTTTGTTGCAGCACTGAAGCCTTGTGAGGTGGTGCCCATCGTCAGTCGACAGCCATGTGGAGGTTTTCAGGACAGTCTGAGCCCCAGGGTCTCCGTGCCCCTAATTCCAGACTCTGTACAGCAATACATGAGTTCTTCCTCTAGAAAACCAAGCTTTCTCTGGCTATTAAAAAGGAGGCCAAAGAGGCAGAGAACCCAGGGTGTTGTATTTGAATCCCCTGAGAAAAGTGCTGAGCAATCTCAAGCTAGCAGAGACTCAAAGAAGGCCAAGAAAGAGAAACTTTCTCCCCGGCCTGCACACCTTGAAGAGCAGCCCTCCCACCATCCTTTGCAGATCAAGAAGCAGTTGTTCCCAGACTTCTGCAGCAAAGAATGGAATGAGGCAGTGCCTTTCTGTGAGTCCCAAAAGAGGGTGACTATGACTGCCCCATTGGGATTTTCATTGCACTTAAGGTCTACAGATAAGGAGTTTATCTCTCTAGAAACCAGGAAGGAAACTGGTTTAGGGCCCCCCTTGGTACCCATGGGAGCTGATGGAGATCCAGAAGCCACAGGGAATCAGAGTGCCTGGATGGGCCATGGTTCTCCCCTGTCCCACAGCAGCAAGGCCACCCTTCTTCCAGCTACCGAATTCAGGGGTCTAGCACTCAAATACCTTCTGACTCCAGTGAACATTTTCCAGGCAGGGTATTCTTCCCGAAACTTTGACCAGCAAGTGGAAAAATACCATAAACCTTTGCTGAAGTAGACTGGAGAGTACAGAATGACAAGCTTGTCTGAGCCCACACTGCAGTTTTGAAGATAGTAACTGATGGCTGGTGGGAAAGAGTTTGTTTTGGGGACCTACTTTTCTATCTTTACAGGACCCTTATGAGCCCACCCTGGAGTGGCACTTCCGAAAACTCATTCACTGGGGTCCTTGTGCCTATGGGATCCTTCGTTTTATAATCGATTATATTTAAGAAATACTTCTTGTTATAAAGTCTTTGGAATATGCATGAACACATTTTAGAAGACCTACAGTAACTTAATCTGTTTAACCTTGTTTAACCCAATATTTCTCAAACTTTTGTGAACATGCATTTATCTCCTTCTGCACCCACATGAGAGGATGTGGGTGCAGAAAGAGATAAAAGAGTCTGAATCAAAAGGACCAAGTTATTCCTGTTGCTGTTTTGTGGTGTCATGTGCCATTCTCCATGTCCCCTTCTCCCTCTTCTCAGATTAAAATCCCTAGGTAGGTCTATTTTTAAAATTATGAAGTATGGTGCTGCATGCTTCAATCCTGAATGTCACTGACTTGCCGTGACCTCCATCCAAATTATTTCCTGTCTCTGCCTCTGGGAGGGAACAGGAAAAGATGAAGAGGCCTTGGAACAGTAGTGAAAATTCTACCTCCATGTCCTTCATGAGGATGTGCAGTTACTATCACTGGACCCATCTGGAACAGAGCCAGCTGGTGCGCTGGGCAACCCTCTCCAAGGCACTACCTAGAACTCAGCTGAACGTCAAGGCTATGGGTATGATGGGATTGCTGGACCTGGAGGCCCTATTTGGCTGAAACAAAATTACAAAAGATAAAATGTGTTATCAGATATTCCTCCAATTGTTCACATAGCTGGGATATTTGTTGCTCCCCCTACCCTTTGGGTTGAGTGCGGAGCCAGAGCACATAGCCTGTTTGTTTTAGTATCCAAGGAAGAGACCAAGGAGCCAGCTGGCAGGAAGGGGTGGGGGTGTGCAGTCTGCCCTGTCCTTCTGCTCATAACCTGACAAAATGCCAAACTAGTAAGCAGAATAACTGATGCCACAGCTATGAGAGAATAGGCTTTTAGAGGGCGCAGACTTGTGGAGCTGGGCATGTGGATAAACTGCCTCGGGATGGAACCTTGAGCCCTAGCAATGAAGAAGTTTCCATTTCTTGTCAGGATTTAAAAGAGTTTTCTGCTTTGAGAGAGAGAAAGTTTAGAAGGCAACTGCTCTTGGGAAAGCTGTACACAGCTCTGTTTTGTCAATGACCTTTGTTGTAAGTCTCCCAGGGTCCTATTAGGAGCCACAGCAGGTGAGGCATTTGGTGCAGCAGGAAACATGGGCACTGCCTAGGCTTGAATTTGTGGCACCCTGAGCAGTTGCTGAAATTGTGGAGCCTAGCTCCTCATCTATAAAATGGACTTGAGATGACTACCTCTCATGATTACGATGGAGACCAAATAATTGGTAAAATTCTCCTAGCTCAGTGTTTGCCCTATGATGGGTCTTTCAGATGTTGGTTCTCTTTAGTTTCTGGTTCTTCAAAGAAATTATTCTGCACATAGCATAAGAAACTTTGAAAACCATAAAAATATAGAGAAAAAATTTTAATTCCTCTGTTAATTGGTATGCTTTCTTCTAGTTTTTTTTTTTTTTTTTTTTTTGAGACGGAGTTTCGCTCTTGTTACCCAGGCTAGAGTGGCACGATCTCAGCTCACTGCAACCTCCGCCTCCTGGGTTCAGGCAGTTCTCCTGCCTCAGCCTCCTGAGTAGCTGGGATTACAGGCACGCGCCACCATGCCCAGCTAATTTTTTGTATTTTTAGCAGAGGCGGGGTTTCACCATGTTGACCAGGATGGTCTCAATCTCTTGACCTCGTGACCCACCCGCCTCGGCCTCCCAAAGTGCTGGGATTACAAGATGTATTAAATATGTAAATGCTTTTCAAAGTTGGGGTAATACTGTGTATAATTTTATAGCCTACATTTTACTTAATATCTTAAAGCATTTTACTCATTAGATATTTTAAAATGCCATTTTTAATATTTTATAATATCCATCGAGTATACCTTAACTAAATAAGCCATTCCCATATTCAATACTTTTGTGTATTTTTAAAATTGCCTATATTACAATGAACAGTCTTATGCATATATTTTGCATTTTTATTTCCTTAAATTACTGGAGGTAGATTATAGTTTTAAGTTCTTGATACCCGTTGTGCCGAATAGCCCTCCAGAAAGGTTTTCTGACCATCTTTTCTGCAGACAGGATAGCATTAAAATACCTTGAAGACTCATTAAGTTTAAATGAGATCATGAGAACGGTACATGTTAACACAAAGAAAATCATCTCATGTTAATAAATATTTACTAAACTGTGTGGGCAAATTTAGCCTGACTTCCTCTAGCATCCTCTAGCTGTCTCACTTCTGTGCAGCCAAAGGTGGCTGGGACAGATAAGCTACTTCTCGGTAAAGAGGTACCCATATTGGCGTTATCTTCTAGCAACAAGGGAGCCCGTCCAGTCTTGGCACATGCTGTGTCACACCTGTTCCTTGAAGTGGGTTATATATGCATTCAGATGCTGGAGGGAAAGCAAAAACTTTGAGGAATTTAGTTGTTGGTAGCTTGTTTGCATTGTTTATTCATGTGGCTTTTTTTTGGAGACAGATTCTAGCTCTGTCTCTCAGGCTGGAGTACAGTGGCACAGTCACTATTCACTGCAGCCTCGACCTCTCAGGCTCAAGAAATTTTCCCACCTGAGCTTCCTGAATACCTGGGAGTACAGGTGTGCACCCCCATGCCCAACTAATTTTATTTTATTTTATTGTAGAAATGAGGTCTCACTATGTTGCCCAGGCTGGTCTTGGTGTTGAACTTCTGGCCTCAAGTGATCCCACCTACCTTGGCCTCCCAGAGTGTTGGGATTTCAGGCATGAGCCCCTGTGCCCAGCCACATTTGCATTTCCATGATGGGAAAATTCCATACTATTCTAAAATAAAAATGCCTGACTTATACTAGAGATTAGCAGTTGTCTTATTTGATTTTGCAACAGTACCTCATATAAAAATGTGGCATTGCATATATTTTACATAGCCAATTTAAATTATTTTTAGAATCTAAAGATGATCCTATAGATGTATGAAGATCTTGCAATTAGGCTTGAAGGTGCTGGGAAAAAGGAAGTTCCCTAGAGATCCATTAGTTATTTCATGGATGATCTGTGTGAGAACTTGTACTTTTCCACAAGGTAACTGACAATGGCTTAAGTCCCTTTACAGGAAAATATCTGCCTGGCTGGCACTGGGGGACCATCTCTCACTCTTGACCTAGATTGCCCTTTGTGGTAGGAAATAGATGAGTGACAACACTTTTTTTTTTTTTTTTTTTTTTTTTGGGAGACAGTCTGTTGCCCAGGCTAGAGTGCAATGGCGTGATCTCAGCTCACCGCAAACTTCCACCTCCTAGGTTCAAGTGATCTTGCCTCAGCCTCCTGAGTTGGTGGGATTACGGGGATGTGCCAGCATACCTGGCTAATTTTTGTGTTTTTAGTAGTGATGGGGTTTTACCATGTTGGCCAGGCTGATCTTGAACTCCTGACTTCAGGTGATCCATCTGCTTCCACCTCCCAAACTCCTGGGATTAGGTGTTAGCCACCATGCCTGACCCACTGTTCTTTTCTTAAGGGATTTGCACTTGGCTTCTCTATCCCAGGTAGACAGTTTTCTCCACATTCTTGGAGTAGGTCTTAAGCAAAGGAAACTCTGTGTGGGGGTCCAGGTGCATACATATATATAGTTAAAAAAAATTTTTTTTTTTGAGATGGAGTCTTGCTCTGTTGCCCAGGCTGGAGCACAGTGGTATGATCTCAGCTCACTGCAACTTCCTCCTCCCGGGTTCAACAGGTTCAAGCAATTCTGCCTCAGCCTTCTGAGTAGCTGGGACTACAGGTGTGTGCCACCACACCCAGCTGATGCTTGTATTTTTAGTAGAGACAGGCTTTCACCATGTTGGCCAGGCTGGTCTCCAACTCCTGACCTCAAGTGATCCATTCACCTTGGCCTCCCAAAGTGCTGGGATTACAGGCGTGAACCACTATGCCTGGCCCATGTGCATATATTTTCGATGCTACCATCAGTGAGTAACTGCCAGCATGTTAGCTGCTGCCCACCCCTCATGTTCTTCATTCACCATCAACCACCACAAGCTGTTTTGTCTTAGACTCATGGTGCTTTCCCCTTACTCTTCCCCAGGGGATCCCACCTGTACCCGCACAGAACGATGCTGCTCTCCCTTATAATCATCAGTCTATAGCTGCCTGTGAGGGATTCTCAGAATAGTTAAGCTTGTCTTTATATTGACCACAATGCTTTCATTTAGCTCTACCCTTCCACCTTGACTATCTCATTCCTGGGTTACTTTGTCTTCTTTGAATATATCCTTGACCCACTGGATCACAAAAAGCTCCCAGGATCCTGGGCTTGGTTCTTCTTCTGGATAAATAGCTGATTGAATCACCTTTCAATCACACAAAACTTGTGGTTAGCTTTGGGTTCGCCTGGCCCTTACATTATTTACACTATTGTATTATGGCCATCTTACTAGTCCTGTCTCCTCTGGTTAATTTATAACAACTTTGGAGAGGGTGGGATGAAAAGTTTGTCCCCTGTGCTATTCCATCCTCAATGTGTTCATTGAAATGTGTGTTTTTGAGGCGCTAAGGAAACTGGGTTAAGCTCACTCACCCTACTAATTAGGCTTTGTGAGACAAAGCACCAGAGCGAGAGCAGATGCCTGCTGTTTAGGGAATCGTAGATACAAAGTTTGGAGAAAACCTAGCTTCAAGAGGAAAAGAAAGCTTTGATCAGCAGAATTTCTTCACATTTCTACCCATCTTCCAGGCTCATACCATCTGCTTTCTAATTTCCCTCTCAATGATGGGATAAAAATCCTTTAATTACCTCTTACTAAGAAGAGATTTTCTCTACTCATAAACCTTCAAGAACCCAAACTATTTAGTAGAACACTTTAGGTCCACATGATGCAAGGCACAACCTATCCTGTCAGCCTTAGCTCCCAGGATTCTCCTATGTGCAAGACAGTAGGCCATGGTGGAAAAGATGGATTTTCAAGTTAGATGTCTTGCTTTGGAATAGTGATCCTGTGACTTCCTAGCTGTGTATATTATCTCTAGCAAGTTACTCAGCTTTTCAGCATAAATTTTCTTTTTGTAGAGGGGGAATAATAATGTCTACTTCATAGGGTTTGGAGGAGACTG